CAGAAGAGAGTAGCATGATATATGCAAAGTTTCTGCTAAAAAAACAACTGATAACCTCATGGGGTTTCCCTTGTAAGTAACTAGCTGCTTCTCTCTTGCTGCTTTTAAAATTCTCTATTTTTAATCCTTGACATTTTAATTACTTGTCATAATGTGAGCCTTCTTAGGTTCATCTTGTTTGCAGTACTCGTTGCTTCCTGGAACTGGATGTCTGTGTTTTTCCCCAGGTTAGGGAAGTGTTCAGCTGTCACTTCTTCAAATAACTTTCTGTCCCTCTCTCTCTCCTCTTTTTCTGGGACCTCATAGTGCGAATGTTTGTTTGCTTGATGCTAAGAGATCCCTTAATTTGTCATTTTTAAAGATTCTTTTTTCTTATTTGCTGTTCAGCTTGGGGTTTTCCTTTATCATTCGCTAGATCACTGATCCATTCTTCTGCATCTGCTAATGGACTATTGATCCCTCTCATGTACTTTTCCTTTATTTTTCAGCTGATTTTTTAATATTTTCTATTTCTTTGTTGAAATCCTCATTTCTTCCATGCTTTTCTTCAGTCCAGTGAAAATCTCTATATTACATTAAACTCTATCAGCATATCACTTATCTCCATTTCATTTAGTTCTTTTTTGAGGTTTTTGTCCTGCTCTTTCATTTGGAACATATTCCTCTGTTTCATTTTGCTTGACTTTCCATTAATTTTTATGAATTAAGCAGAATAGCTACTTCTCCTAGAGCTGAAGGAATGGTCTGTTGTAGGGTTGTTCCCCTATAGACTATGTATACCTGGTGACTTTGGTTGGTTCACTGGAGAGGCTAGGGTGGGCTGGGAGTCCTGGGGCACTCCATGTTGGGGTGCCCTATTGGGATGGCAGGAGTTGAAGTGGGTTTGGACTGAGACAGTCCTGCAGCTCTTTGTGCAGAGGGTGCCCTGGCAGGACAGCTGGCATGGGCTGGGGCCCTCCCAGAGAGAAGGCGGCACTCTAGCAGGATAGCTGAAGCTGGTGCAAGCCAGGGGGTCCCCAAGTATTCGGCACAATAGGCACCTGTAGCCAAGGCTGTTGCTGCCCAAGGTACTCTAACAGGGGGGCCCTGGTTGGGCTGCTGGAACTGAGTTAGAAGGTCCCAGAGCACTTTGTACTGGGGGAGCCCTAGCAAGTCACCTGGAAGCAAAGTCGTGTGGCCTGGAGTGTCTCAGGTATGGTGTGCTGTGTCACCTAGGCAGGAAGTCTGGAACTGTAGTAAGTGCTGACCACAGGTACCCTGGGGGCTGCCTTGCTGGGGCTACCCCAGACCAAGGGCCTGGGGTTCACCGAGGTGTCAGGCTCACTAGGGCACTGGACCTTGCTCCTCTCCATGCTACCAAGGTGGAGGGGGACTGCACTCATAATACTCGCCAGCCCCTCCAGCCTGGAGAGATTTCTAGCATGTCTCCTGCCATTTGTCAAGCTTCTAGGGCTGAATGCTTTATATTCTAGTTGTACTCTTAAATGATTTTTTTCTGTGCTCCAGGGCAATTGAATATACTCAAAGTCTCTCAATACTATTCCTCCCCACTTTGGTTTGCAACATTGATTGTTCGCTTTATGAGCATGTTACCCTGTCTCCATCTAGCTTGTGTTGTGCAGAAGCTGTTCGGTCAGCCCTCAGTTCCTCTCCAGGGAAAACTGCTTTATAAAATAGGTGTAGATTTGATATGTCCAGGGATGAGGTGAGTTTGGGGTCTTCCTAGGTTGCCATCTTGAACCAGAAGCCCTGCCCTGGCTTTTCTGTCCCTGTGCCAGGGCTCAGAACCATGCAAAGTCAGTGAGTGAAGCCCGCTAGCTGTGAGGCCGTGTGGAGTGGTGGGGCATGTGGCTGACCAGGAATCATATGCTCCATCTGAAAAAGCAGCCACTGCTGGACTGTAGGCCCTGTATATCAACCAGTGCAAGTTTAGTGTTCTAGAATATTCTATTTTCTAAGAGAAAGTGAAAAACTTGACTCTTAAATGACATTTCCTAGTTTTTAAATATTTGACAAGTAATTAAAGTTATTTTAAAACATGCTGTGTGAGCCAAATAAGATGTCTGAGGCCTGGGGCTGGTCTTACTTCTATACTCTCTTTTCCCTAGTCTTGCCTGCCCTACCAGCTTCATCTCTTACCCTCTCACCAAATGTTGCTATCTCAGACAGATCTCTAATCCTTGCCTGCACCCTGGATTTACTTGACTAGTCATTTCCATGGGGATGTCTGCACACTTCAAATGCAAAGCTGAGCTCAGCCTCCCAGATCTGCACCCTGTCAGGTCTTGAGAAATGCTGGATGTTTTTGTTCCATTCCCCCAAAACACTGCTATTACTAATGTTACTGCTTCTGTGGTTAATGCTACCAGTAATTGATTGCCCTTTTTTTGTTACTGATGTCGGTTATCCAGTACCAACCCTCCAGCAGTCAGCCAGAGCAGACCGTGTGACCCTGAACTCCTGCTCACCCTTACTGCAAGGCCAGCCAGTGGGGATTGTGTTCCTTCTTCTTCCGCAAGCCCTCTAGGACTTGCTCCTGTCTTTGCCTTCCCACTAACCAGAAACCTTGCTTGTTTCTGAACTTGTCCAGTCCTCTCAGCTATTTTCTCCACCTCTTAACTGTCCACCCGCCACCAATAATCTTACCTCCTCCTTCAGGACGTACCCAGTACACTGTGGCTGGAGCCTCACTCACCTCTCTCTAGGACTCTGGTGGCTCCCATAGGCTAGCCCTCCCGGCTCTCCACCCCTCCCCCGGCGCCAGTCACACCACACTGTATGTTCCTCTGCACCTGTGCTGGCTTTTGGGCACGACTGTCTTCTTCCTTCAGGCCTGTGTTCTTTCCCTTCATCCCCCTCCTCTCTTGTCAAGTGCCACTGAGGAGTCGTGACCAGCCCCTCTTCAAAGCCGCCACACCTTCTCTTTTCATTTCACCCAGCTGTGATTGCCACAAAGCTTGCTGGCCTCTTCCCCCTTCACTCGATCAGCTCCTTCGTGGACAGGCACTGTCTTTGCCATCTCTGTCCCCACAACGGCTGGTACACGGCCTTGCATGCACTAGACACCACATAAACCTTTGTAAATTGATCCCCCTTTTATACTGGAGAATGGCTGTGTCTAACGGGCTCAGAACAAGATACTAAAAGTCAAAACTAAACTGTCTGGTTATTCAGAAGGACCTACCAGAACCCAAGAGAAGGTATCCGGCTAGTGAAAGGGTTATTCTGACGGTCTCCCTTTCCAGGGATGCAGCATTTAGAGGAAGAACAGCCGTGATTTGGTCTCCTTTCCCTCACGCCCAGTACCTCTCCACAGTGCCCCTTGGAAGTCTGGCTTCAGTGCCTGGGGAAAAGAAAAATGGACAAAGTCTGCTGGACACTGGGCTTCTGCCACTCTGGCAGCGAGAGCCAGGCACTGTTCCTTTTGCCCAGAAGAACAAGTTGTACCCGCACACTCACAAGATGTCCTCTGCTCTCCTCATTGGCAGGCCTGGGAATTTCCCACAAGCCACTGGGGTCTGTTCTACCATCCTTGTACTCTAAGGTTTTCTGCAGCATTGTTTGTTAATGAGCTCTTAGAATAGATGTCTGTCCTATTAGGGATTGGATCCCCGTGCTTGTTTCTCTTGTGTACGTATTTCCCCCTTCCTTTCTGAGTGCACAGGCTGATCCAACAGAACCTAGGCAGCATGAACACCTCGCTGTCACAGAACTGAGCTAAATGCTTGGACCTGTGCCGCTCTGAAAGCCCCTCAGACTTTCGGGCTGCATCTGCACTCCAACCCCACCTATGGCCCTGAATTCTTTGTCCGTAGGAGGGAGGAAAAGCTGTTAAACCCCACTGGTGTCTGCATTTTTTCTTGGCTCCCTTGGAGGGCTGTTCAGCATGTTCTGAGGTCTCTCCTGTCAGCTACGCTTAGGGAGTTCTGCAGCCTTCTCCCCACCCCAGGGCCACCAGTGGAGGCTTTGCAGCTCTCGACCCCTGGCCAGGCTGGGATGCTGCCTCCCAACACTGCCTTCAACCACAGAGGCTTTTTATTTACTCTGAATATTCCACAGCAGAGCGAGAGCTTTTCTCTAGTTCTCACAGATCAAACTTGGTTAAAGATAACTTGATTTAAACGTTACCACAAAACTTCTTAATCCAAGGCCATTTTTACTTTGAATTATTATTTTAAATCAGCTTGAGTGTCTTTAAAATTGAAAAATCACATTCTGGCCCTGAAAAGCAAATTATCCTGTGCAAATCCTTGGTTTGGACAGGATCAGAACACCTTACGGGCCTTTTTGTCAAAGATGATTTAGTTCCAAATATCCTGATAGGAGCTCAGCCTAAGGGAAGTTACCCGATTGGTATATATACAGAGGATTTATCTACACACATTGCTTAAATGGTCTACGTAGGAAGCTTCTTAGTCATTCACCATTTCAAAATAGAAGGGTAGGAGAAGAGAGCATCTTTGTTGCATAAAGAAAAGTGGCCAACTTTGGGTTTTTTTACTCTCACAGCTTCTTCCCACAGATCTTCGAAATAATGACCCTCACTCTTCTCTCTGTGGTCTTGTCAGAGAGTAGGAACCCTGGCCGACTGGTCAGGTCCTCAGAAAATGGCACAGCTGTTCTTAAAAGTAGCCCTATTCATAAGCTGTGGGCTGTCGGCAACTGCAGTGTTGGAGAAAGGCACACTATTTTATAAAGAGTTTTTCTTTAAAAGGGAAAGAAAAATACATGGTATTTACAGTGAAGAAAACTGGACCCTTCAGCTTTATTTTAGCGGCCACGTCTGAAATGGAAGTGGCAAAGGCCATAAATACACACAAGCAATTGCGCCTTTCAGGGATGACTCATGCTGGCGGTGCCCATAATGGAAAATTCAGCCAGTTAAGCAAGATCAGCCAGAAAGCCTCACACAGTCTCCTCTGCCAGGGCTAATGTCTACCATCTTGTGACCTAATTGTTGTATGTTATTGAATGATCGACTCTCTTTCTTCCCCTCTCAGTTCATGACCAAGAACCCCACCATGCGCCTGGGCAGCCTTACGCAGGGCGGAGAGCATGCCATCTTGAGACATCCTTTCTTTAAGGAAATCGACTGGGCCCAGCTAAACCATCGCCAAGTAGAACCACCTTTCAGACCCAGAATCGTAAGTGTTTAAGACCATCAGAGTAGACTTTCCTCTTTCTTAAAATGTCTCCATGTTCTACCAAAATCTGTTGTCCCCTATGGAATAACTGAACCAGAAGTTCAGCCTCACCCCTGCAAGGTGGGCTCACCCAGGAGGAGGCTGGCCCTTGAGGCAGCCTCTCTCTCCTTCCAGGTTACTTCTCTCAAATTTTTCACCTCTTGCTCTGGAATCCATTCTCCCTTAACCTAAACTTTCTGGAGTGTAAAAGACCTAAAACTTTCTAGGTTTCCCCAAAAGATTGGGGCTGAGAAATTCATCGTTCTTAAAGTTTCCTCACACACCCCCGGTACCTTTCCCAAGCCTTCAAGGAAGTAGAAAAGGCATGAAATGCTACCCATCTCACTGAACCTGGCTCCTTGGCTTGGAGAGCCTGGGTCTGGATCAGCTACTGCTGCCCAGACCTCAGGCCAAATCCCTTTGACTCGAGAAATACCAGGCACGCCAGGGGTACCTTCCCAAGCAAGGTAGCTGAGGGGGCACTCCTGAGGGTGGTCTAGCTCTGGCTTTGGGTCAAGAGATCCACAGTGGAGAAAGCAGAAACATATCTTCAATTAGACCTCTCATTTTTCTTACCTAACAATGGCAGAAGTGAGCTTTCCAGCATTAGTTTATAAAGATGTAAAATATCAACATTTCCAAACATACAGCCAGCTTAATCTGTAACAGCCCCCAAGGTTGAGCACCAGGCACCCAGCTGTCAAGCCACTTCCTTTACCAGGCCTTCCCTGCCAATGCCTCAGGTAGGAGGGAAGGCTTTGGGAGCGAGACAACAGGAAGCCAACTGGTAAGTAAAGCAAGAGGCAGTTGCTTCCTAAACTCTGTGCTTCCACGTCTTTCAAGAAAATCTCTTCAAACCTAGAGTCCTGTGTATAAGCAATTGGTGAGCCAAGTGTGAACTTACACTCTGTTGACAACCAAGTGTGTGTGTCCCTCAGTAGAGCCCGTTGAGAAGTGGCACTTTGGTGAAATGCCAACTAAAGGGTGTTTGAGAGGGCTGGATCAGGTGACCAAAGTAATTGCTTTGCCTCCTGGCCTGAGGCGGGCCTTCTCGGCAAGATTTCCATGGGGTTAGTGAAGTGGGGGGTTCCCAAATGCCCATAACAATACACAGCACAGCAGAATTACTACAACGCGCTTAGTCCTAATGGTCCTAACTGTAAACACTGCGGCTCCCAGGGCCGTAGAGCCCTTCTGACCTCCCCGGAGAGGGTGCAGGCCCAGGGAAGAGGAGAAAGCCTCCTGTGCCTAAAATCTGACCCTTGTTTCCTTTTGACAGAAATCCCGAGAAGATGTCAGTAATTTCGACCCTGACTTCATTAAGGAAGAGCCAGTTTTAACCCCAATTGATGAGGGACATCTTCCTATGATTAACCAGGATGAATTTAGAAACTTTTCCTTTGTGTCTCCAGAATTGCAACCTTAGCCTTATGGGGAATGAAAGGCATGATAAAGAATCACAAGCAGATCCAGACTTTCCAGGAATTTCCTTTGTGGGGCATTCCCCAGTATCAGCCTTAGAACAAGAACCTTACCTTCAGAGCGCAGGTGGAAAGGAGGTCAGGATGTCAGCTCTTTCAAGTCCTCATGAAGCCAGGGTGCTAGAAAGAGTGGATACCGAAATGAGATTCTATGAAGAAGTATACTGCTCAACCTAGGAGTTTCCACGGTTCCTCTGGGCTTGGGATATTAGAAGGAACCAACACAAGAGAAGGTGTGAAGAATCAACTCGATCCTAGAAATTCTGAGCCAACCGGCTTTTCACTTCAACAGGCAAATCAAGACTTGGTCTGGGCCATCCTGTGCTCTTCTTAAGCCAGTGAGCACTGGATACCAGCAGACTGCAAGAAGTCTGTAAATGCTAATGAAGTATTTGAAGGTAAGGAAATGAATGGCTTTCCAAGCAGAATGATTTACTCTGAAGAAACAAAACTCACAGCGTAAAGCCCTGTCTTGAAAACAGATGTTGGGCATTGGGCACCAAGACAACTGTTCCAGCTTATTCTCTTACCCTCACTTGAACGGATATTTATTGAGTGCCCAGTGAGACGGTGCCACGCGCCCGGCTAGTGTAAACAGATTCATATGCACTGAACGTTCATGCTCCGGACCACTTATGTACCTGAATGGTGTTTGCATTCTGTGAAATGCCTCTCCATGTTGCATATATCATGCTTCTTTGTCTCCACTAACTTTGTCCACAGAAGAGGGCTCACTGCCACAAGGGCAGCTGTCCATGCAAACAGCAGGTGAGCCAGGGGCTTGCTGCCCAAGGACTTGTGAAAGTTCAGCGTGGGATGATGTGTTGATCCCTCACGCCACTCATGTCCGTGACCAGACTTACAGCTTACACATTAGCAGGTTATTTAAGTTATATTTTAAGAGACAAAAATGTTTGGTATGCATTTTAATAATTAGAAAAGACTCTTACAAACAGGACATTTACTGAAGGACCTTAGAATATGTACTCATATATGCAGCTGGAGAATTTTGTCTGTCTGGAAATAAATGCATTTTGTAGCAAAAGCAAACTTTCTGTCTAGGATGATTTGTCCCCTCCCCACTAGGAGATGAGATATCTAAAAGGTTTTGAGCAGAATGGCTAGAACTCCTAAAGCAAATTCCTGGAAAGCTGATAGAACCTGCATCTCCACCTCTCACTGCCCAGAACTTCTGTTCTGACTCAGGGTACTGACCGCTAAGCTGTACAGCGACAGAGCAGTCCTCTGTCTCAGTGCCTCAGCACAATGTTGATTTCTCAGTCACATAAAACATAGTGCAAGTTCAATGGCCCTCTTGGATCTCATAAATATGCTGTCTGGAAAACAGTTTCCAAGATTGCCATAGCAAGGAAGAAAGAGGGAGGAGGTACTTAACTACATCTCCAAGGAAGGATATGCTGCATCACTTCTGCACACAAAGATTGGCCAGAACATGGCCTCTGTTTACAAACCCAGTGCAGAATTACAGAGCAGCCAAAGGGTATCTAGGCACTATTGAAAATCTCTGTCCTGAGTTCTTTTTTGTATTGCCAGCTGAAAAAGGATTTTTGAATGAACAGAGTCACTAGGGACCTCCATTTACTTTTGTTTAGCCCCTAGTGGTGCAGAGACACACCCAAGCTATACAATTTCACTACATCTTCTGGTCCTTCTACCACCGTTTCCAGTGTGACTACCAGAGTTTATTTTATAAATAAGAAGAGAAAGGCCCAGAGAAGTTTAATTGGTTGCCCAAAGGTTTCAGACTTGGGGAGGAGTGGATCTAGTCTAGAGCCTAAATCACTGAAGTTCTAATCCACCAGACTTCTGGAAAGGGAGGGATTTTTCTATTTCAGTGGGCAGTGAGGGGACCAGGAACCTTCATAGCTAGGTGCCAGCTCAGTCTTCTGTGGCTGTGTGGGGCTGAGGAGCTACTTGATGTGGTTTATTTACTCCCCACAGGTAAAAAAGGATGAACAATAAAGCATACCTCCTATGTTTATTTACAAAAACCATCATAGCCCCACAAAGGCCCGAAATGTTCTCTTTAATAACTCAGCAGCTTCCCTTTTCACAATCTATTCAGACCCACTACCTGGGCTGCCCAGTTTGGTTTAAGTCCATTCTTTCAATCCCAGGCCTACCCAACAGAATATCAGCGATCATGCCAGGAGAGGATTTCCAGTGCTGCTGCTTCCTCCCTCCTCTATGTGAGGAGAGAGAGGCTAGGTACAGGATGTTTGCCTAAAGCTCTAGGAGTCTCCATGTCCAAGGTCAGGGCTCTTCACATCTTTAATCCATTCTTCTGAATCTTGGGTCCTTTCTGAGAATCAGCAAGTTCACCCGCCCATATTTCCTGCAATAGACTGGACATGAGCCATTTGGTTAGCAGGTGCTGAGTCTGCTGGGGCTGCTCTGTTTTCCTCCCACTTAGCTGAGGGCATGGAAGTCAAGATAAGGTCACGCTTATCCTTTCCCGCAGTACCATCTTGCCTCTCAGATAAGGAATCTTGAAAAACAATCAGGCCTTATCACCCTACTGTCCTCCCCACTTTGTCCCCACCCCCATACCCATCCCTCCCTACTTTCCCAAACTGCCCCCCCTATTAAGTCCATGAAGGGTGGAGAATTTGAAAGGAAAATGGATATGTTGAGACTTTGATCAGCTTTGACCCCAGAAGATGTTTTCACTTACTAATGACTGACATTTAATTCCGGTGTGAGGCCCTCTTCCAAATGTTTAAGTGTATTTATTCATTCCAAATCCCAAGAAGTGGCCACTCTATTGTACAGATGGGGAAAGTGAGATACAGAGAGATTACCTGACTTGTCCCAATTCCTGCACTTAAGCATTACGGTGAGGACTTGAACCAGGCAGTTTAACTCCAGAATCCCCACTTTTAGTCAGGTTCGTGAGTGCCTTCTATCAAGGCCGATTTTAATTTTTCCCGGTTTTGTAGGGTTTTGAAAACAAGGGTGTAGACTGGGCTTCACAGGGAACGCTAGACAAATTGCCAGCTGGGCAGGACAGTGTGAGTCATCCTGTCTGCAGAACCATTTATCAGCAGCAAGATTATATGATTTGTGTGTCAAGGGCCTGGAACCACTAACCCCCTCTAAGGAACAGGGGCAGGCCCAACTGATGCAATCTGGATCCGGGCCTCTGAGGAAGAGGAAATGGTCTGGGTCATACTGAGACATCTGAACCCCATCTGAACCTCTGAGGAGCACTCTGACCCAAGGTGGAGTTTCCAGGCCTTTCCTTGTGCCCCCCCACCCCAGGGTACTCCTGTTTTCAGTAACTTACCACCCAGCTGTGGCATCACTGGGAAGAAGGTGTGTAGTGTGGGGCCGACTGTGGCAGCTGGGACAACTACAGAGCTGCTAGAGCCTGGTAGCAAAGAAACGAAGAAAAAAAAACACCCACTTCTCACTTACTGATCTCAATTCGGTATATGCGGCCTCACAAATAGCCCATCCACCGCCGCTTTGGCCTTGACCATTATCGTGGGCCAACACCATAATATTTTGTCCAATCTTTAGTCCCAAATTTGGTCACCCTGATTGCTTCATCTGGCTGCACTGATGCAAAATGAAAATGTCCTCGGTACACAGTCACAGTGGGTCCTATAGCTTATTTTACATTATCCAAGGATAAGACTCAGAGACAGCCTGAGACATTTGCAGTGGAAATCAACCCGGGGTCAGATGTTTCTCCAGAGTTGCAGGCTGAACACCATGGATGGGAGCATGGTTATAAATGGGCCTTTGTAGTCTCCCTTCCTTCCTGTGCTGAATTAGAACCACAACGAAGAATGCCATGGTCAGCTTCATCCAGTCCTGGCTGCCCCCACCCTCACCTCCACTCTCTGGGCAGGCGCTCGTCCCCTCCTGCCACCTCCCTCACTCACCCCCATGAGCTGATCCCTTCTGTGCGCTCTCCCTCTAGCATTTTGATTTTTCAGAGCTCAAAAAGTTGGAGGCAGTTTTCCAACCCCCAGGACTCCATAAAATCCTGATCTGCACATATCTCATAGGCTCTTTGAGAACCCAGAAAGGGCCGCTACCATCGTCTTTCTCTCAGGTGTTCCTGTGTCTTCGGCATCCCTCTGTGTCAGCCCCTCCCCGGTACAGACCACCTGTGTGTGCTCCTGCCTCCTCGCAGGGGCTTAGGAGTCCTGACTGGAGTACTGTGCAGACCTAGGAACCGGATTTGCCCTTTATTCTTTGGGAAAGGCATTCTTGCCCCTAGATGACAATGTTCTCATTTGTGAGATGGGAGAATAGCCCTTGCCAGCCTTCTGTTATTGCCGCAGAAATTCACCAGATTCTTCTAGGTCAAGCACTTCAGCCAGGGCTGGGACGGAGAAAATGGTCAGTGGGTATTGGCAATGATGGTCCGTGATTGCAGAGCAGCGAGGGAAGGTTGCGGGGCCTGGGGGCTGTCCTCCAGAACAGGGGCAGAAGGGGACGCCTGTGTTCCTCATGTAGCCCATCTCACCTGACAGGGAGGCTGTGCCAACTCCAAGCCGGGGGGCTTTTGCTTTTCTGGCTGGTTGGCTGCAGAGATTTCTCCGGAGGCTCTTTTAAAAACTTCTTGCAGGCTGTTTTGAGTTCATGCTGCTGCCCTGATTGACATGCATGACCCGTACTGTGCTTGAAACTGTGCTGCTGGGTATAAAAAAGAGGCTAAGAAATATCTGGTTTATCCTAAAGAGGCTTTTTCCTCAAGCCTTTCAGGAAAGCTTTTGTTCTTTCATATTTAACCCGAAGGCACATTTAAGTCCCCTCTGACCAGGTAACAGAGACCATACCCCAACCCCAGTACCTGCTGGTCTCCCTCTGGACACTCAGTATGTCTGTGGACCAGTTCAGAAGAAAGAAGATGCATGTTCAAGGTGTTCCCTAGGTCCTGGCATGCCACTAGTAGAACCAAGGTGTTTGACTTCCTGGATGAAGATCTCTGTGATGAGCGTCCCTAATAAAATGAGACCCTGAAGTCCTATGTATTCTTACTAGAAACTGGGCATTACACCCCTGTTCCCACGTACTATCCTTCCACACCTCC